TGTGTGTGTGTGTGTTTGTGAGTGTGTGTATGTGTGTGTGCGTTCGTGTGCGTGTGTGTGTGTGTGTGTGTGCGTTTGTCCATGTTTGTGTGTGTGCGTGTCAGTCACAGTCAGTGTATGTGTGTGTGTGTGTGTGTGTATGTGTGTGCGCGTGTGTGTGCACGCGCATGTGTGTGTCTGTGTGTGTGTGTGCGTGTGTGTGTGTGTTTGTGTTCATGTGTGCGAGTGCGTTTGTGCGTGTTTGTGCGTGTTTGTGTGTGTGTGTGTGTGTGTGTGTGTGTGTGTGTGTGTGCGAGCGTGTTGTGGGGAGGGGAGGGAGGACCCGTCCCCCACCAATCAATTAATCAGTCAATCAATCAATCAACCAACCAATCAATCAATCAATCAATCAATATTCATTTATTTYTATATATATATATATATATTCACATACCAAAAAACGCCCCCCCCCAAAAAAAAAAAAATTAACTTTTTTTTTGTTCAAGGGGTTGAGGTCGGGGTTCCGGAACCCCAATCCACAACCCCCACCCCCATGTTCCCAGCCCCCTCTCCCTCCAGCGGAGCCGGGCCGCGGTCGTGCCTGCGGTGACCGCGGCCGCGCGGGATTCATAGGCTTCAAAACATGCCGCGTCCGGTCAGGAGCGACTACCATTGTGTAAATGATATTTTTCCTTTTTATGAATGCAAAGAAAACGGGGCCATGAACCGCTGTCTGCCACGGCGCGTTGAACTGTCAGTGCACACTGCACAGTGCACACACAGATGATCGCCGTCTTCCACAAAAATTCCAATGTTGTCTGTTCCAGTATGTGTGCTATGCCATGATTTGGTATGAAGATTTGCAGGCATAGATTCGATTGTTCTTTCAATTTGTGTGCTGCCCTTGGGAAATACGAGTCGGACGTAATTGCAAATGAATAACTAGATCCTCTTTTCCCCGTTAGCATCCTCTTTGCCCTATTCTAATCTCCCCCACTCCTCATGGCGCAGAATGGTTAGAAGTAGGGGTAATTGAGGAGAGAAGGGTAGAGATTGATTTTGCGCACAACATGACAACGGGGTTAATCCTTCCTTACTGGGGAACCAATCAATGGTCATTGCTCATCTATGTTCGTGTCGTAGAGGGATTCGAAGCTGTCTCCGGGGGAGCAGTGGCTAAGGCTCTTCCAGTCCTAATGGGAAGAGGAGTGTGTGTATGCGTTGTAATCAATTTTGTGATTTGAGCCTTGGGCACTTGGCCCGTTTCAAAAAAAGCAAAAAAAAACAACCTTGGCGAAGCTGCAAAACCGTCCCCCTCCTTTGAAAACCATAGAATTGCATCTTCCCGCCAACGCACAGTGTTAAACTAAATGGACAAAATATATTGTTAAAAGTCTTCCCTTTGTTAAAGGGCAGCTGATTGAGACGGAAATGAAGAAATGGCACTGCGCCCTTGATACGGAGCATCATCAACGATTACCTTTTGCCACGGACAGCCGCACGTGGTTGAAAACCACGGAGGGGAGATGTAAATATTCCGTAGTCGGTCCTGACCCCAGCCAAGTTGAGGAGTCCGATTGAGCCTCTCCTAAAATTTAGGAGGCCCGTGCGCCGTCAATAAAATAAGTAGACGGCAGGCGGCCCCTCCAAAAGGGGCCTGCGGCCTATGGCTGGCATGTACTGGTGGCTTAAGGCTAAATTTGGTAAGGGTGACCATGCACCTATACACCAACTTGGCGCGCATGGGAAGTGGTACCAGGAGGCGCTTCATTTTCTTTTTCTTTTCAAAAAAAAATACACTATGTTCTTCTCTCAAATTCTTTTGCCTTTCCCTACCTTCCTACCACTACTCCTAAGACTAGAGAGAGAGAGAGAGAGAGAGAGAGAGAGAGAGAGAGAGAGAGAGAGAGAGAGAGAGAGAGAGAGAGAGAGAGAGAGAGAGAGAGAGAGCCAATAAAAAAGTTGAGAACAAGCAAAGGAAATGAAACAATGATACAGCTTGGTTCTGTTGCAACAACCTGACATCTGACAGCTGACCTCTCAGCTTTTTTTTTAGCCTTCAGTAACCCCATCCAGGTCGCTACCGTCTTCACCCGAATAGAATGGCCGGTTATTATAGCCTTGTCTAGACTGAAAGATGCCTCAAATACAGCTGTAATGACCATACGTTGTATTCGGGGGAAGAAGGAAGGAGTGGTGGTAAGAGCACTCACTCCTAGCAAGTCTCCTCTTCCGTCCGTTTTATGAAATCACCCCCGTGGTCAATACCTTTCCAGCGTTCTGCAGAACTTTCTGAGGGCATACTCACACGAGGACGTTACCAACTCAGCTATGGATGTGATGGCTGTCAGGTGCATACAGGGCTGACTGTAAAAGCAGACAGATGCATCCAGCAAAGTCCTGGTGTCAGTACGGCCTGACAATTTTTTTTCCATCATCATGAATGATGGATTGGTCAGGGATTGGGCAGGCCCAGCTGTACATCCAGAGTGCTGCAGCCCATGTGTTGACGTTACTGACGTATGGTCTAAAAGCCGCAGTTGTTCTGAAAATGGCGCATTGACCTAGAGCCTGAGAGAGTGGGCCAGACCTATTTTAAGCAGAAATGGAGACGAGGGGGCTGACTCACTGCTCAACAGTGGAAGTGTAGGTGGAATGCAAAGTGGGGCAGAACCCACCAGATACCTCAGTCCAACATTTTGAATGTATAGAACCGTTGCGGGTCGTGATTCATTTCGATTTATGTGTGTCATCCTTGCTTGCTCAGGGGCCATGCTAATCTTCTCTGTATCGTTCCAATTGTAACAGATGTCCCGAAGGACGTCGTGATTCATTTCAAAGGTTGAGCAGTGGAGCCAGGACCGAGGTCGGGAGTTGTCAACTGTGGAAACTACCTTTATGAAAGAGTGTCTTTTTTCTTTTTCAATAGAAAGTCGCTACGCGCCAAGAACTGGGCACTCTTTATGAAAGGGTTCATGATGGGGTAACAGCCCAGTTTTTCTTTTGTTTTTCAAAAACACAGGTCCATCTATTGGTGGGTAGCATCACCTGCTGGAAACGGGGTCCAGCGTCCCATTGAAAAACGTCCTTTTCAAATACTTCTGCTGGAAACCGGGCCCAGTGTCCTGCCTCCACCATTCTGGACAGTCTAATTTCAAACCGCTCCCGATTGCCGAAGACGAAAGGAAAAAGGGAAAGTTATAAATGCCCCCGCAGTGAGTCCTTTGCGTTTGCTGGAAAATGGGGCAACCAAGGGCCTCGCCAGACAGCAAAACTAACGAAACGAAAAGACCACCAAAATCGTGAGGCCTCGCGAAGCCCGGATCCACCGTTTCTCTTCATTTTTGGCCTCACCGCATAGCACACGCGAAAACTCTCGCAAGAACGCCCTGGCGAGATTCCTGCGGGTTTCGTGTGCGTTGTGCGGTGGGGGGCACAGTTTTCTCGCGGTAGTTCCACACTGGCCTGCCGGCAAGTAGTGCGGCTACCGAATCCGCCCTCTCTCTGCTGGTTGGCGGAAAGAAAAGTGCAGGCTGCGCGACTGCTGAAATGCACACGCTCGGCAATCACGAACGGCACGCCGGCGGGCTGATCAACAGTGGGTATGCGTTAGCAACTTAGCAGTGTTACACCTTCCGGGGTGGGGGGATGTGGGGGGGCGCGGGAATGCAGGAGGTCCGCCGCTGCCCATGTGTGCCCAGCCCGGCAACCGGTCGCCGGTGAGTGCTGCCCTCGAAGGAGCCGATAGTAGCACACGTGCAGACTGCAGCGGCGAGCTCAATTGATCACGCCATGCACAGGTGTGCACGATAGTGGGCACACCTCGGCGGCGGGCAGCGCTCCCCCGCTGACATGCGCTGCAGGTAGCAAGGACACGACGACTATAGGCCTGAGGTTGAACATGCCTGCCCAGCGGGATCCTGGTCAGTCGTTGGACGATTGCGGGCGATGGATGCTGCTGGTTGTAGCTGCAGCCATCATCGCCATTCACACCAGTGAGGAGTCGGAGACACTGGCGAGCCAGATGGCAGTGCTTCTCCAACACCTCGCGCAGATGTCTTTCCAGTTGGAGCTGCTGCATCTGGCCATGTTGGACTCTTCGTTCATGATTATGGCGACTGCTATGGCTGTGATGGACGGCCTGTCGCCCCCTCAGTGGTGGGTCCGGCCATGGGCAGCTGGTGCATGGCGCAACATGACGCGAGGCGACCATGGTGTAGAAGACTACCACTGCGACAACATCAGGATGGGAGAGACGGTGTTTTGCAGAATCACAGCGAATGTCGAACCTTATCTGCATCGGCAACACACGTGGTACATGGCGCCAACACCACTGGACAAACTAATTGCCTACGCCCTGTACAGGTGGGCGACAGGTGTGAGCTACGTTTCATCAGCGTCCTTTGGGATAGGGTGCAAGACCGGCAGGACTGCAGTACGTCACCTTGGCAATCCTTCAAGCCTATCCGGATGAGATTGTGTTTCTGACCGGCCAGCGTTTACGGGAGGCTTTCGCTGCGTTCGGGGCGAAGGGTTTCCCTCGCTGCTACCGAGCTATCGACTGTACCCGTATTTTCAAAGACAAGCCAGGCGGGGAGCTTGCAAGACCATACTGTGTACGGCATCGGCGGGTGTCTATCATGGCGCAAGTCGTCGTCCGCATGGACTTTCCTTTATATGACGTGTATGTGGTGTGGCCGGGTAGTGTACATGACGCGCGCATGAACTCGTCCCTTCCCCAGAGAGCAGAAGACTCCTCGCTGTTTCGTGCTGAACCTCTTGCTCTCGTGGGCGGCATCGAAGCCAGAGGCTACCTACTAGGAGTTAATGGGTATCCAAGCCTGCCATGGTTAATCACATCCTGAGCGTTCGGGAGGCTCAAAGGGATGTGGCACATGTTCCTGCGCACTCACAAACCACACA